CCCTCCCTGTCCCTGGCTCTTCTCCCTGCTCACACATTCCCCCTCTGTCTCTCTCTCTCTCTCTCTCTAAAATAAATTAAATAAATAAATAATAAATAAATCTTAAAAAAAAAAAAAAGAAAGCTAGACATGATTTATCAGGTGATGGGAATGGATGTAAGTAGAACTTCAGTGTGAGATTTTATGTTCATCTAGCTAGGAGTTGGGCTGTCCTTCATGTTTACTGTAGCTGTAGATGTCAGAGGCTTCAAATTCCTCTAATATCCTTGTTTTTGTCTCCCTTGTTGTCTTTGGACTTCCCTAAGAACTCTTCCCTAGTCTCTTTGAGCTGTAACCCACTGTTACTATACTGGATCCCATGAAAACCTGGAAGAGTTCTTGATGCCAATCTTGTGAAAGTGTCCCCACCCCAGTCCCCATACATGCACAAATGACTGAAGCTCCTAGAAGTTTCTTATTCTCATGGTAGTCTATACTTGGTCCCCAACAGTTTATCAAAATTACCAGTTAAGCGTTCCAAGCAATTTACAGCTCCAGCAGCTTCTGGTCGTGGTATGCACACCTCACTCAGTATGATCTTCTATAGTCAGTCACCTGCCTCTCAAGATTTCAGGGTGGCAGGTTGCCCTACAGTCTCCGTTCTCTAACAGATCCAAGAAGAGTCATGAATTATCACTCTGTTCAGCTCTTTCCTTGTAAAGAGGGGAGTGGTGACCCCCAAGCTCTTTGCATTTCAGAGCTACAGCTAGAAGCAGCAGAACATCTTGACATCAGTTATTTGATAGGGTCATTTTTCACTCTGGAGATATTTTGATACTGCTGCATCAAAAGGTGAAAGCACTCACTTTCTTACTGAGGGATATATGCCATTGATCCCTCTGAATTCACCACTCACATCCACCCTACCTTATCCCCAATCCCCCTTCTCTGACCTCATTTCAAATGGAAAGGAGAGGGAGCTCTGTTTTACCCATTTTTTGATGATCAGACATCTGAAAATAACCCCTCACAAAATGACCTCAGTAAAGTGGCTGCATCAAAACTTTATGTACTCTGAAAAAAAAAAAAAACAAAAAAACAAAACAAACAAACAAACAAAAACCCAGAAAAAACAGGAGGCAGAAAGGCTCAAATTTAAATTTTCTAATCCAGTCGTTTTATTAATGGACATGTGAACTGTTTGAGATTGGGTCTTTGCCCCCTCTATCCTTACCTCAAATCTCCAGTTTTCTTGCCCTTTACCATTTAATCTCTGTAGCCCAGTTCCTCCCGGGTGCTGAAGACCAGCAGGCAAACTTTTTAAATCTGTGAATGGCATGATATTATTACTTGAACCTCACCCTGGAGCAGGAGTGTATGGCCTTACCAATAAATTATCAGATAAATCCCTTGGCATGGGTTTATTTTCCTTTTTAATAATATAATCATAAAAAGTAGTCAGACTTACTGAGCATTTAATATGGCCAAAAACTGTGCTACTTGCTTTACATATGGTTTATCTCACTTATTCTTCACTACTACCATTTGAAGTAAGAGAACTACATACCAGAGAAAATAAGTGACTTGCCCAGGCTAAAGGTAGAATTCAGACTGAAATCGATCTATGATTTAAATTAGGTGCTTTCCCTAGTCTGTTCCTTGCAGAGGCAGAACATGAGTGCATAATAAATGCCATTAGGGTTATCTCTAATGTGGGAACAGCTGTTTGCAAGTCCAGATTAGGCAGATAACCCATCAATTCACCTGAATACAGGTCCGCCAGTAGTTGTAATTCCCTAAAGGCAAGGACTATAGTCCATTCACTACTGAGTCCCCAAAACAGTGACCCTAGTAAAGCAAAAATGCTCATTGGCAACATGAATGAATGAGGATGTGAATAACTTCATGAGCCCATGAATTAATGAACAAACTAATTAATGTGAATGAATAAATGAAGCAACTCTCAGCATGACGATCAGTGCCCCAGGAAGAAACCTTTCCAAGCATCATCTACTCCCAGGATCTTCACTGATACCAGACTAGAAGCTCCAATGGGTCAGGAACTACATTGGCCTTATTCATCATGCTATTACTAGCTAAGTTAGCACATGCCTAGCACACTAAAATTTCAGTAAACTTTTGTTCTTTTCGATGGACTGACTTATCAGAGGCACTCCATTCAAGAACAAGTAGCCCTACTGTCTGGAGAATGACTGACAGTGGTTCTTTTCCTCAGCCTACAGCTTCTTTTCTGGATAACTTCCATCTTCTCCCTGCCTACTTCCTCTTCCCAGAATAGGTGTATTTATTGTTACAAGCACTGTTCTTCACCCCATCCTTCCACCTGAATCTTTCTTAAATCTGATTAACATACAAGTTCAGCAGAGAAATACTGTATACCATCAATTTGAATTAGAATCCTGCACTGTGACTATTGGAAGGGGCTTTGAGATCATGTCTTTTCAGAGAGGAAAATAAGGATGTATAAACAAGTGGTTCAGGCTCAAAGACAAGCATGGAGGCCACTTATCCTACTTCTCCTGCCTCTCATTCCCATGCTTGGGGTGGTCCACAGTACTGCCAAATATTTCCACACCTGCCTTCTTGTGTTCACGTTGGCCCCATCAGAACAACAATGGTAACGGAACAGTAAACTCAGCATACTCCATATCATCAGTCCTAGTTTTTTTGTTCTATTTGGTGCTTTGGGGTTTTTTATTAATAATATACGTAGAATTAGAAAATACCCAGAAAACCTGACATGAGAAGCTCGCCATCACCACCTTCTGGCCCACTGCTGGCAATGAATCCAAAGGCAGCTCACTCTGGTCACATGAATGAAAACTGATAATGCAGGGGTCCTTTGGGGTTTTAGTGCTAGCCCTCCTCTAACGCTGGAAAGCTAAGTTGTGGTGTGAAGCAAGAATGTTGAATCTAAAACCCCGTGTTAAGAAAAAAAACAATCACAGAACTTGGACTTTAATCATAAAGATCATTTTACCAAAGCATATTTTTTTAAAAGGCTGTGAAACATTATGCAACGTTTGCATGGTTTAATTATGAGTTTAGAAAAGCCTAGCACAACTTTTTCACTACAGTAAAACATGACAGAGCATGAATCATGGCATAATACCTTATGCTTACTGTGGTTTTAGACATGGGGTTAGGGGTGCTGGGCTGTCTACACAGCAAGGCATGAATTACTGAACCGCAATTCACACCCCGGAGGGCTTTATGACAATTATAAAACCTCTTTTGTTTGCTTCTTAAATGATTAAAATATTTGAGTACTATATATTCATATAGCAAATGTGTATATCTAGGACATATGCATGTCTTACAAAAATATCTGAGTCTATAATTTATTTTTCACTTGGAGCAAAACCCTTGTAGTAATACAGGAATGTTGAACAATCTGCTATTTTGCTCTTTGCTTTCAGTTATTAGAAACACTGTTACCTGTAAGGCTGTGCAGGATCCTTGACTATAGTGGATCTTTCATTTCCACTGAGTTTAGAATGGACCAGCTATTTTATTCTCTGCCTTCTGCTCAAATTCCCCAAAATTCAGAATGGAACGAGGACCCTTCTTTAATATTAGATTTCAGAGATTCTAAGTGAAAATATTTGCCCATATTTTCCAAGCTTAAAAATTGAGTTATTTGAAAAGAAAGAAATCGATCCACATGAGGGACGGGGACTGGGGTGAGGGGAGTGTGGGGCAGGTAGCTGGCAGGCAGAAGAGCCGGGGATCCAGGTAGATCTCTAAACCCCTGATTCTGTCATCCTCTCTGCCAGCTTCAGACAGATAAACAGAAAGAGCAAACTTGAACTGCTGGAAAAGAAAAGCCCCTGAAGGAAGGAGAACTGAATATTTCACAACGAGTAGAAAGAACTCACTTCTTTATGTCCTGGCACATACACAGCCTACACCCAGCATTCTCCAGAGGAACATTGCTCTTTCTAAATTTACTCCCAGCTTTTTGTAGCTCTGGCTATGAAGACCCCTGGGAACTAGTGTAGTCCACAGAGAAGGTGGGACACAAAGAGAAAATCGATGTTTAACCCTAAAGAAATGGAAGGCTATCTTGTGGGGGGACTGTGTCCCATTCAACTTTTCTTACACGTGTTGCCCAAGATTAGAGGGTTTGTTCATTTTTTTCTTCTCCTTTTCATCTGCACTGTGATGCTTTTGAAAGCTAAGACTCCTATGAATGCTGGAGTCAAATTTACAAAATCCTTTTTACCTAAATCTTCTGAAGTCAGAGTTTTGTCTCTTCTCTATCCCAGTCCCCACTTAATGGCTGTCTATAAAATACTTGCTCAACATTCTGCCCTTTAAACATTGCAAACTTGAGGTCTTGAAAAGGTGCAGGACACCTGTCGGTCTGGGTTGGTAGAGCCAGATCTCTACTGCTGGGTTTGTGAACTAATCCTCAGGTCTCATCATCAGCTTCCCAGCCAGACCTTTTCTAAACTCCTTGGGAGAGAATTCACCTAAGTAGAGGATATTTAAAAGTCCTTGGCATATTTTTTGCCAAAGTTAAGAAAAAAAAACAAAACTCTATGTTCTTTTTTGCTTACTGAGCACAGATGGATATGTGATCCACCTGAGTTTATAAAATGTTTCTGAGGATGAGAATTTTAACTCTTGGTAAAGCTGAAATTGTCTGGGCGGTTGATATGTGCTGTAGTTTAACAGGTGAGCATTAACACTTCTGCCTGGAAAGCATATTCAACTTCTCCCATCATTGTTAGCATGATTAAATCAAACCTCTGGAAGAAACAGTTATCAGAGGAAAATCTTCAAGAATCACACATAAACTGTATTTCAGTGTCTCTCAGGGGAGGGTGGAAATCATCAAACAAAAGCAAATACTTGGACTTACTAGACACTGGTCAGCAGGCCACAGGAATGTATAGCATATTTAAAGAGAGGTGACTAGTTTTTTATTAAGAGATTTGTTTTTTCTTATACCCCACCCCACTCCACATATGACTGACCTCCCTGATTCTCTGCAGACACAAGGCAGATCCAACCATCCCCACCGTGGTCCTATGATCAGTCCTACCAGTACCTGGGATCGATCGCCTCACCTTCTGTACACCCAGCAACACCCATCTCACCTGGACGGGCCAGCGGCATGACAACCCTCTCTGCAGAGCTTTCCAGTCGACTCACAAGTAAGCTGCTTGAACACACCTTTTGAAGTCAAGCTAGAGCGGAAGGTTCGAGAGACTGGAGATGCATAAAGGGTTTGGCAGTCATTCTGGGGGGGGTAAAATTGTGGTTTAAATACAAGGTTGTCTAAGTCCCATGTCCATTCACTGATTTTCCCTGACCTCTAGCGAGAGAGATTATGAATATGAAGGCAGAAGAGGATTCTTTGAGCATTTCGGGGTTGCTCACATTTGGCAGAGAGAGGTAACGGCTGGGGGATTAAATAATATACAAGGCTAAGGAATCAGCTTCTAGGACTTGGGAGGGACTGTCCATTTGATGGTGGCAAGGTTTCACAGGTCATGTGAACAACACTGGGGTACCTATGGAATGGGAAACAGCTACACCCCAAATGAGACATTTTGAACTAAGCTCTTCATCCTGGATTAGAGGAACAGAATGGAAAGCTCGGGTGTCGTGGTTAGCATAATTGTTGTTAATACGAGCTCATTAAATATTAGTCATTTAACCTATGAGACCTTTTGGGCTTGGCACTCACCTTTGCTCGTGGGCAGGGAAATCAGAGTTAGAGAAAAATTCCTTTGTTGAAAGCAAAAGAAGAAACTCCCTGTTTGGAGCTTTGAAATTGGAGCTGGACCAAACTGTGAAAATACTTCAGAGAACTTCAGCATTATGAAGCCTGCAAACACACTTCATATGCATGGGGAGGAGGGTGGTTGTTTTTGCTTTTCAGCTCTTGAGATCAGATTATAGTAGATTAGGGGGCAGGCAAAGGGGCAAAGGCGTCATGTCTGCCATTTTAAATGTCGGATAATGTGGTGTTTTCCAGACAGTTGTGATTACTTGAGATTTCACCAAATGCTTTAGCTTCTTTTCGGAGCTTCTCAACAGCACCATCATTGGCATCTGGGGCCAGAGAATTCTTTGTGGTGGGCGGTGGGGGGAGGGTTGCTGCCCTCTGCACTGTAGGATATTCAGCGGCACCTCTGACCTCTAGATGCAGCAACAGGCCCCCTCCCCTGAACCAAGATGACCAAAAATGTCTCCAGACACTGTCAGATATCTGGAGGGCGCCCAACAGCCCCCCGGTTGAGAACCACCATCTTCGAGTATTCTTAGGTGCTGTGGTAAAATGGAAAAGCCAACTTAGTTGCCCACTTTTTGTATTAATGCCAAGATTTTCAGGGCACCTGCTGGCCTAAGGAGTTGAGGAAGTAGCATAAGAATGATGACGTCTGTTCACCTTGTTGTTTCAGAAGTTCTGTTCCCTCAGGACCAGTTTGACTCCAAAGGCACTTGTCAACTTTTATTGATTCTTCTCAGAGCACTGCTTTGCTCTCTACATCTAAAACAATCACTGTTTTCCTTGGTAATGTGCCTGCTGTGGGTCTCTGGGAATGTATTACGTAAGACTTTTGACTTGGTCGCCACCCAAGATCCGCACCTTATGGTTTCAAGAGCCCTCAGGGGGCAGCCGCTCCAACTGACCAGTGTTCAGATGTGAGGGTGACTTTTCTTTTTTTTAAAGGGAATGGGTAATGTGTGCTCCCAAGTCCCGTGTTGCTGTTAAGGCTTCTGAAAAACCGGGACCTCAATTACCCAAGGAGTGGGGGAAGGACATTTTATGGTGTGAGGGTGTGAAGTACACAAAAACCATGTCCCATTTCAGCACCCTAGAATTATCCCTCTCTGTCTTGGAGGGAGGGCGGGAGAGAATTCCAGATGAGCTTTCCCCGGTGGCAGAGAAAGGCATGGGAGACTGCTCTTCAACTTGGCAGATCTCCCTCTGAGAAATCAAGCCTGGAGTACGGGCCTGAAAAACCTTGTCATATGCCTGGGGGCAGTAGGGGGTTGCGACACATGAAAGCAAAGTGGCTGCCCCGGCTGCCAGCTTTGAAAACTTGACACTGCTCTGCTCCTGCTTTTCCTTTTAATCCCGCCCCAGAGCTCTGTGTTCAGCCCCTCTCCCCACCCCCAGCCCCACCTGGACTTCCTTCTGCACGTGGGACTTGCACACTCTTTTTCTCTTTCTCCTTTGCAGACAGTCTCCACACCTTGTCTGAAAAGAGATGTCATCTGGAGGTTTTCCTTTTTTTTTTTTCTTTAAAAAAAATTAATGTTTAGCTGCCAACCTGGGCGACAGACAGCATGCATTAATCTGAGTCATGCAAAAGATCCTTTTAAGGCTGCCATTATCTGCTCAAGCTGTTTAATCCTTTGGGGGCAGTGGGAGGGGCTGGAGTGGGGCAGCTTTCATCCACGTCAAGCTGTGGAGCAAACACTTGAGCTGTCGTGGCAAATATCAGTGGGGAAACATTTCCAACTAAAATACCTGAACCTCCTAATCCGCAGATTTCCTACTCTTTAAAAGCTCCTTGTGACTATCTGGGGTCTCCACCCCCACCCACTATGGAATAAGGGGGCACCGGGCCAGCCCAAAGGACAAATGGGCGATGGTGGGGTGAATGGTGCATGACAGTGGGGCTCAGTAGGAAATGTCAGATGAGACATAAAAATGGAAACAAATATTTGAATAGATCATTTGAATCAGAACATATCTAGAGGGCCAAAGATCTTTTATTATCAAAATGTGTGGGGAGAGAAAGCTAACTTTTGTCCAGTGGTGCGGTGGAGACAGGAGAATCACGGGCAGTATTGAGGATCTTTCAGATACTCTGCCCACAAGGGAAAGAACTATTTTCCCCTGACAGCTGAGACCATAACATCATTGCATTACTTATGTCCGTGACCAGCCACGGACTCACTGGGGATTACGGTAACTTGGTACCATCACCACATTACCACGTAGTCGTTGGAACAGACTGGCAGAGCATGTCCAGACATCGCCATGAAACAGGGTGACCTTTCATTCATTTTCCAGTGGATTCACCTTTTTGTCTCAGGGCAAATGAAGCAAGAGGAATACTGGGCGGAGTCATTAATTTGTGTCCAGAGTCTTGCATCAGATGCCAACAAATTGATTGTATTTGCCTAATGCTCTTCCTCCTACCTCAGCTTCTCCCTAGACTATAGAAATCTAACTGGAAAAATGGAGTCAAGCTTCCTGTCACAGCTCTCTGGGTGAGCAAAAACAAGTGACACAGAGCTTGCTCACAGACAGCCCCAGTAAGTGGCCAGGGACAAACTGTGTGGAATGAGGTACGGCCTGGCTTCAGGACGAGCTAGAGTGTGGCCCTGGAAGGGCAGCCCCAGAACCACTGTCAGTTTACAACGTTTTCCCTGCCCACATGTCTGACTGGCTTTGAAAAGATTAACAGGAGTGTTTGTTTGAAAGTCAGACTCCTGGTTTCCTCATTAGCACAGAGATTGGCCACAGACTTTGGTTGTTTCTATAAACTTTAATTACCTCTCTGATGAGGGGTATATACCTCCTCATCACATTCACCCCAAATTTATAGAGGAGTTTGGAAAGAGGGAAAGGGGAGAAGGGAGGGGGAGAAGGGGGAGAGAGGGAGAAAGCGAGGGGGGATGAGAGAGTGGAAGAGAGAGAGAGAGAAAGGCAGAAAGAGAATGAGAACACTAGCTCTCCCTGCTGGAATAATAGGCTTGAAATATGAGGAAGTAGATCAACCCCGGATGCCTTCCAAATACAGATTAATCCACCCTGGTAGCTTTCCTTTCAGAGCAAACTCTTGGCTCTGTCAAGTTTCTCTATGGGCCTGAACACAAAAGGACACAGACTACATGCCATCCTGAGCTTGGACTTACTTTGTATGTTGATTTGGTAGCTTAAAAATTTTAAAACATTTAATTTTGCCTCTGCTATCTTTTGGGTTTGCAGCTATAAAGACTATAGCCCTGGCCCAGTCATTTGATTAATAATTCTGAGGAACAGGATACCATCCTACATCTACATGGTGGTTCTCAGTCGGAGAGTGGGGGATGGTTGCCCCCCTTCACCCTACCCCCAGAACATTTGGCAGTGTCTGGAGACAATGTTAGTTGTCACAATGCGGGCTGTGGGAGCGCTACGGACATTTGGTAGGCAGAAGCTAAGAATGCTCCCAAACATACTACAATGCAAGGGACAGCTCCCCACACCCCCAACAAATATATATCTGGCCCAAAATGTCAACAGTACCACTGCTGAGAAACTGATCTACAGGACACAAGGAACACTTCCTGGCACCCAAAGCCCCTAGTAGTTCCCAAGGGCAGCTATGGTAAAGAAACATATTCCCAAGGGCAGTCTATGGTAAAGAAAAATGCAGAAGGATGCAATGAAGGCCAAAGCCAGTTTCTGAGACCAGAAATACAGAATCCTAACAAAGTGAGTTTTATAGACAAAGTTTTGCCATTCCTGGTAAAACTTAAACATGTGGGAAAATGGAGTGGATAAATCAAAGCCCTGCAGCCATTTGTGTTAACAAATCAGTGAAGCACTTGAGGGAATACCAGGTGATACTGAGGTCCTATTTTTCTAAAAATGTGGAAGTAGTCTAAAGGCACATGAGAGGGGAGGAAGAGTGGTATTGATACTCACTGACAATCACTCACAGTCACTACTATGGCATGCATTAGGTAGAATCATAAGAAACTGACAATTTTTAATTGTTTGAAGCCTACAGAAACAGCAGTTTCCTGTGATTCAACCTAAATATTATGTATGCTGTATTATAATGTCATTACATATTAAGATTATAACACAGTATCATATTATATATGATATATTCTATTGATATTAATCTACGGATGCATCCATCTCATTACTATCATATAATTTTACAAGTTACATGTTGTTATATTAATATCACAGATTACATTTATATTAATATTGGCATATTAATATATTGATTATAGACGACTGGCAAACTTTTTTCCGTAAAGGACCAGATACTTAATATTTTAGGCTTCCCGGGTCCCACGGCTTGTCTGTGTCATGACGACTCCACTCTGCAGTGGTCGTTCATCAGCAGCTAGGAGAATTCCTAACAGGAGTGAGGCTCATTCCAGTGAAACTTCATGCAGGGCAACGGATATGTGAATTTCACATAATTTTCACGTCAGAAAATACTATACTTCTTTTCACTTTTTTCAACCATTTAGAAAAGTAACTCATTCTCACCTTGGGGGCCACACAAAAACTGGTGGCGTCGAAAAGGTGGGTTTGCCAACCCCGTCATTACCTCGATATTACAGGTATATTTATATATAGTATGTGTTATGTTACACTGTATTACATCCTATTATATTGTAATGACATTGTAGCCTACCCCACCTTACATTCCGTGACTCCCCGAGTTACCACCCTCTGTCACCGCAGACCGTCACACCACCTCCCTGCCCACTAGCACGCTGGGTAGGCAGCCCCCTTGGCTCCCGGGGCAGCAGCATTCTGGGTAATCCTCCTGTGGGCGGGCCGCGGGCGGGCCGCGGGCGGGAGGACCATGGCCTCCCCGGCTCCCATCTCCCACCTCACAATCTTTTCTCGCCCGCCCCCACAGCGGCCCCCGACCTGACGGCTTTCGGCGACCCACGCCAGTTCCCTGCGCTGCCCTCCATCTCAGACCCTCGCATGCACTACCCCGGAGCCTTCACCTACTCCCCGACGCCCGTCACGTCGGGCATTGGCATTGGCATGTCGGCCATGAGCTCAGCCACGCGCTACCACACGTACCTGCCGCCGCCCTACCCTGGGTCGTCGCAGGCACAGGGCGGCCCCTTCCAGGCCAGCTCGCCCTCCTACCACCTGTACTACGGCGCCTCGGCTGGCTCCTACCAGTTCTCCATGGTGGGTGGCGAGCGTTCGCCGCCGCGCATCCTGCCGCCATGCACCAACGCCTCCACGGGCTCGGCGCTGCTCAACCCCAGCCTCCCGAACCAAAGCGACGTGGTGGAGGCTGAGGGCAGCCACAGCAACTCGCCCACCAACATGGCGCCCGCTGCGCGCCTTGAAGAGGCTGTGTGGCGGCCCTACTGAGGGCCCCGCGGCGGCCGAGTGGGAGGAGCGCCCCTGCCCAGGCCCAGCCTTTGCTCTCGAGAGCCCGCGGGTATGGGGTCCGCGGCCGGCGCTGGGGAGGGGGCGCGCCCCTGCCAACTGGGTTCTGGGATCTCGCTCTGCTCCGCGCCCTCGCCCACCCCCTCCCCGGCCCTTGGGCATTCGGGCCCCCTGGCCGCCTGCGCCCCCGAGGCCATGCGGAGCGCCATCGCTGTGGGCCCGGCTCACCTTTTCCGAACCTGACCCAACAGGAGGGTGTCCGCTTCACCACCACGTGGACGCGTCGTAAGGCAAACAGGAAGATTCCCAGAGGGAAACTGTGAATGCTTCTGATTTAGCGATGCTGTGAATAAAAGAAAGATTTTATACCCTTGACTTCACTTTTTAACCAAGTTGTTTATTCCAAAGAGTGGAATTTTGGTTGGGGTGGGGGCGGGGAATGCAACTCCTCTTGTTTGGTATCTAATTTGTATTTTTTAGTTTTCTTTTCCAGCACCTTATAAATTGCAAAGTGCATATTTGCATTTGGGGTGGTTTTTATTTTTATATATATATATTAAAAAATTGAGCTTGCTTCTTTCTTGCTTTGACAATTTGAAAGAAATATGATTCCTTTTTTCTGTAAGTTTTATTTAACTTTTCTTTTGGACTTTCGTGTAGTTCTTTTGAGAAACAACTACAGCTTTGGGTCATTTTCAACTACTGTATTCCCACAAGGAATCCCTAGATATTTATGTATCTTGTTGTTTAGACACTTACTTATGTGTTGATACTTTTTTATTATTTAAATGTACTTATATTAAGAAGAAAAATATCAAGTACTACATTTTTGTTTTTGATAGTAGCCAAAGTTAAATGTATCACATTGAAGAAGGCTGGAAAAAAAGGATGAGCAATGTGATGACTTGGTTATCTAAATATTGTTTACATTAAACTCCCTTTCATGTTAATCAAACGAGTTGGTAGCTAATGCAGCAATGTTTTTAATGCTTTTTAGATGCTGAGGGTCACTTGAAGGATCTGAAGTATGGAATTTTCTGCCAAGCTCAACAAAGGGTCTCATACCTGACTCCCTCCCTTCCAACAGCGAAGGTCAAATCTGGTTCCAGGAGGTTCAGATAGATGCCAATGATTGCATCTCTGGAGAGGATTTATTTTCTGCCTAGGGGTTTGCTCCCTCCATGGGCTTGATAATTCTAGAAGTGCTTTGTAACCATTGAATCCAAAGTAAGCTATGTGGAAGAGCAGTATCCACATGGGAACCAAAAGAATGGATTTATGGGTTTCTTAACTGCTCCCTTCTGGAGTAGTAAGGAGATCATCTGAATCCAGAATTCAGACTTTTTAGCTCCAAGAAAATACTTCTATTTGATACAGTACCTGTTCATTGATTCAGAACAAAACTTGTGGCTGTTCCCCAAGGCTGGGAGTGGAAGAAACTAGACCTGGTGTCTTTGGTGCCTGAAGGTCTCCAGCTGAATTTTCATAGGGTGGCTTGGAAGCAGACCTGAACAGGACAGTTTTCCTCTGTGTGCTTCCATGGAGTCACATAGGAAAGCATCATCCCCCCTGTGCCAGACTCCATCCCAAGCTGCTCATTCAGCATCCATCTTTGCGTTGCTTTCACCAGGCTGAGACCCTACCTAATGGGGTATTTGCACTTTTATCTGTGCATCAGCATGACAGGAAAGATTCATGTCACGGCTGCCCATGGCTACAATTCAAAAGTATCCAATGTCACTGTAAATTTTTATTGGAGAATTTGGTCAGAATGCAGTTGTTGTACAACTCATAAATACTAACTGCTGATTTTCACATATGTGTGCTCAAAATGATCTGGTTGTTATTTAATGTACCTCTTAAATTAGTTGAAATGATTTCAGGTCAACTCTGAAGAGTATTTGAAAGCAGGACTTCAGAACAGTGTTTGATTTTTATTTTATAAATTTAAGGATTCAAATTAGAAAGATCTTTGGCTGCAGGCAGCAAAACAGCTGGTCTTATTTAAAACAACTTGTTTTTGAGTTTTCTTATATATATATATATTGATTATTTGTTTTACACAGATGCAGTAGCACTTTGGTAAGAAAGAGTAAAGCAGTTTGTGTTGTCAGGTCATTCTTATCTAGAAAAGAGCTAAAACAGATCTTGGAGAAATTCAGAATATATTCATTTTCATTTTAGACATGATTATCTCTCCATGATTCAATTTAATGTTTTATTCTATATTACGTTTTTGCAGCAAAATTATCCTTAAATGTCAGCAAATTGACAATTTTTATTTTTGGAAAGGACCTTTGGCCCCTTGACCCCAAATCGAACCTAAGTGTTCTCAACACATGTTGCCATATCTGACCTGACAAAACGTTGGGGGAAAATGAAGGAAAAAAATTATATTTTTCAGTTCATTTCTGGTACCTGAAGATATTCGAACTCAAAACCAGCCTAATGCCCTAGAAAGGGGATCAGACAATGCTTCACATTGAATCTTCACTCTCAAAGGCATGTATGAGGAGGGCTTGTCACTTCGTTGGAGTCCCACTGGTTTGGCTAGTCAGAGTTTCACAGACCCTTACCAGCATATTAGTACTTAATCATTACAGAAAAAATTAAATCAAACTTTAGTGTTTTGGAGATAGGTCTCACATTACACTTAATGTTCCCCTCCCCCAGAAAAATTGTATTCATTGCCTTCAGGTAAATTAAGGTGGTCCTTTAATCAAGGAGACCCTTAAGCCAATAATGTAATAACTGGATGTATCTGGAAGCATTCATCCAAGAGAAGAAAGATTAAGCCATTTCTACTGCTTGTTCATGCCTTTATTTATAATTTCAACATGGACATGTATTTTAATTCTTTTTGGTTTTTCTCACTATATTTCTTATATGACTTATATTTCTTATATGACTTATATTTCTTTCTTCTGCTGGCCCCCTAATATTTCCCTCTGTTTCTTTTCTCCCTCCATCAAACCTCTCCTCCTTCCTCCATTCTCTTGCTTTATATAAGGAGACAGCACACACACCCCCAACTTCACACCAAGTGTCCAGAACACGAGGAGCTGCAGGTCTCCTCGCTTTACATAAAGGAACATGGTGAGTCAGCCTTTCTCCTGCTCATCATGGGTTTCTTCCAGAAGAACAGAGACATTGCCAACCATTTTGGATCTGCTTGCTGTCCAAGTGCAGCAACAGAAGCCTTCCTGGACAAATTACAATCAGTGAGTTAATAAACAGCCTTTCTGCTGCCTCACATTTCTGTGCAGATAAACAGAAATGCTCTGATTGGAAAGGAAATGAATGGTTTCACTCAAATGTCCTGCAATTTAGGGTTGCAGGTTTCTGTCCTGAAAGGCCTGCTTCCTTAGGACATTCCATCCTGGCAATTTTTGTTTTTGGTGGTTTTGTTTTCTGGGGTACAACATGTTTGGGGTCTTTTATACATGAAAAATCAGTTAATAATCTTAAAAACTTTTTTTTTTTTTTTACATTTGAACAAAATGTCTTTTTGTTTACCTACAGTATACAGTCGTTTGGGGTTTTGTTTATTTGTCTGTTTGGAGTTTTTCCCCTCCCTTTAGCCAGATCAGTATTGATGAGGCTGATCATTTGGCATTTTTTTTCTTTCCAGAAGAGTTGCATCAACAAAGTTAATTGTATTTATGTATGTAAATAGATTTTAAGCTTCATTATAAAATATTGTTAATACCTGTAATAACTTTTTTTTCAATTTTTTTGTGTGTGTTTCTAAGGACTTTTTCTTATGTTTGCTAAATACTGTAGACAAAAAATGCTTCTTTCTACTTTGTTTATTTTAGAATTAAAGATGAGCTACTTTTTATTCACTTTTGTAAAGAGCTAATAGCATGGTTCCAATTTTTTTTTTTAAGTTCACTTTTTGTTCTAGGGGAAATGAATGTGCAAAAAAAAAAAGAAAAAGAAAAAGAACTGTTGGTTATTTGTGCTATTCTGGATGTATAAAAATCAATGGAAAAAATAAACTTCCAAATTGAAATGACAGTAAAACACATCTATTGAAAAAGTAACAATGGGAATTGCAGTCCTACTTGGACAGGCCCCACCTAGTGTCTATTTGTGTAGCAGTTACTGGATCTGTTCACAAAGCGTCCTGGAAATTTGTGTGTGCTTTCTTTCTCCCTGGTACTGACATATTGAATACTTCCCTAAAGGGAACTGTCAATCTCGAGTTTTAAACCAGATACCCTATGAGAGAACACCACTCCTCCAAGCCCCTGTCCAAGGTGTTTCCAGACAGGGCAGGAGAGCAGGCACTCCGTTGTGTGTAGTCCACTGCTCAGAGTCAGAGTGTCTGCCCCACTGCTGCTGGCAGCACTCCCCATACCCAGCCTGGGCAGGGCAGCTGGACTGCTGCTGCCCAGGAGCCTCTGGGTCCTTACTTTTTTTGTACCACAGTTTCTTCTGTAAATCCAATATTATCACTAGTGAATGGCAAATAAACAGTTTGGCAAGTACAGACACCATAGCACACTGGTATTGTCTTTTTCTGAAATGGAGGAGCTGGGAAGCCAAGTGAAGCCACTTTAGCACACAGAACATCTTCAAGCGAGCTCTTCATAGGCTCGCCAGGCTTCAGGATGACATCTGTGCCTTCTCTGCCCTGTGCATCCTGCATCTCCTGGCTTCTGAGGCCAGGAGGGACCCGGTAAAGCCCAGGACCCCAGTGCTGCCTCTCTGGGTATGAAGGAGCAATGTCTGTATATTTCGTGTCTGTTTAAAAAATAATAATGATTTTAAAATGTTAATAATATTTCAAAAGAAAGACGTGGCATTTGCAAACATAAAGTAGAAAGGGTGGATATTCAATAGGAGGCCAGTCACCATCCCCAGCCTCCACTTCTTTAAATCATGGGAATCAGTTTTGAGCTGTGATAGGGAGTCTTTTACAAGGTCTTCCCTCACCACCCCACGGGGCCAAACATTATTCATATTTCAGCCTCGAGACTATGTGAACCAAATCACCTCCCGACCAAGAACCACCAGCTAACCCTCCTTCCCAGTTCTTTTTGCTGCCTTCTCAGGGTCTCCTATGGTCTGCAGGGTGGCCACAAAGAATGTCAGGAACCCATGCAAGTTGGATCAAAAGAAATGACTGGCCCTGGGAAGTCATGGTTAATGAGCGGAGGCAGGAGGTGGGTGGGAGCATCAGGTTATATATGTTCAGAAAGGGAGCCTAGGGGGGCCACTGAGCACGTTCTCAGGAGCCAAACTGCCTGGGGTTGAGTTCCAGTTCTGCCTCACGCTGGGCAACAAACTAAGCCAGTGGCCTAGCTCTTCTCACCTATAAAAGAGACACTAATGCTATCAGTTAGGATATCTAAATAACTTAATACACATGAAACTCTGCATAAAATGTTGGCACATAATACACACTCAATAAATGGAAATACACAGAGTAATACTGCTCATTATTAACAACATAAACAACATCAAATAAAAAGTTAAAATATTTTCCACTTCTCTCAATCCATGCCCTGCTATT